GTTGGTTAGTTATTTATAATATTGTTAGGGGTATTTTGGTGTTGTTTTTTATGGTAATGTTTTGTTTGTTTGTTTTTGTTTTTGTAGTGGGTATTTCTGTTGCTGTTGTTCCTTTTTCTTTTTCTTTTTTTGGTCTGTTTTTGGTTCCGTGTCCCACTTCCGTTTGCCAAGTTAGGCCCCGTGTCCACCAAACCGGAAACCAACCGACCGTTTGTCGTACGTCTCTCGGGATGTCGGTTGGCGAAATGGAGCACCGGTTTTTTCCTTAGAAATCAGGGAAAATGTCCGTTTGGTTGTGTCTGCCAGGACGACACGACAGCTCCCTGCAAGCGTCGAGGTGGTTGGGATGTTGCTGGCTGCTGTAGTCGGCGTTGTGGGGACTCCTCAGCCATAGGTCCAGCCAGAGCTAAAAAAGAATATATCATTTTAAGTTTGGATGAAAATTCTAGTGTCATATTCGTAATCAGCGCCTCAGAATTATCAAAGACTGCGCGTAAACTACCTGGTCTAAATGCATAGTAACAATTTCACTCATTTCTTTTTGAAAAAAAACCCCCATTCATTAACCCAAGTTCTTGCCAAACGTTCATTGACCTCATGGCTATTAATAGCCCGATGCCGAGACGGCCGGTGATCTCGCCTTGTCGGTTGTGACAGTGATTAAGTCGCCGTCATAGATCTAGCTTCACAAGAGAGCGAACACAAGAACTTTTTTATATACGTCACTGGTACGAAGCCCCCCCCAACAAAAAGACACTCTTTCTAGAGGTGTACTTTGGTTTTCTGTGCTGTGAATACAAAATGTGTAACTTGGCACCCAGTCAGGTCGTACTTGGAGTTGGAAGAGAGCAGTTGGGAAAAAAGATAGCAGACGAACAACTGATAGTAGAACTAGATCTAGTCTCAGCTTTTTTTCGACAAGAGTGCAAACAGTGCAACAAGGGAATGACATTTTACATATCATGAAATCAGACAGCCATTTCTGGGAAGCATACAGTGCAAGCTGCCATTTCAAAAAGACGCTAAAACATTAACAATAGGGACACGATCTTTCGCTGTCTATAACCCGGTACCCATTCATACCAGAGTGAAGTGAGGCAAATTTCGTGTAAAGTGATTTTCCCCAAGTACTTGATCTAATGTGGGGCTAAGCTGAGGCTCGAACCTTCGAACCTCACGATTACAATCCGGTAACCTAACCACTAGACCACCACAACCTCGCGATTACGAGTCCGGTAACCTAACCACTAGACCACCGACACCACAACCTCACGATTCTGAGTCCGGGAAG